GGAAGCCCAATCTCGGGGACCGGAGAAAGTGGAGCAATATTCTCGCCACGCCAAGCAACAGCCTAGAACAACCTCAACCTATACAAGTAACCACGTAAGCCATGCTACTGATGCTGGCAATTTTTCAGTGGCTGCACAATAAACAGCAACATACACATTAATGTAAATAAACAGCCAAATAATGGATCAACGCTCTCTGTCTAATATGTTCGCTTGCTGTTAGTGTTGTTGCATAGCAACCACCTCCCATGTTTCGTGCAGAAGGCAACGGAGGGACTATTTTATTTTGAACATCATTATTTACTAATAAAAACTATTTAAATTAGAGTGTGTGTTTTTCTTTCATATTGCCACACTTGGTAATCTCCGCTTCGCGTCGGGCCGAACCACACCCCTTAGCTGTGATATAATGAGCATATACCACGGCCTGTCGTGAGCTATTGCTTAAATATATGTAGGACCCTCACCTTGGTGCAGGTGCAGGTGCAGGTGCAGGTGCAGGTGCAGGTGCTCCAGAACTAGATATATACAGTATATAGTATATATATATATGTGTAGGACCCTCACCTTGGTGCAGGTGCATGTGCTCCTGAACTAGATATATACAGTATATAGTATATATATGTGTAGGACCCTCACCTTGGTGCAGGTGCAGGTGCATGTGCTCCTGCAGGGCGTGCTTGGTGCTCAGAGACTTGCTGCAGACGTTGCAGATGAAGGGTTTCTCTCCACTGTGACTGCGCTGGTGAACCAGCAGCGTGTGCTTCTGAGTGAACGCTTTCCCACAGACCAGGCAGGGGAAGGGCTTCTCTCCTGGGGACATCAGGAGCATAAAGCATTACGCACCACAAATAATAATAATAATAATAATAATAATAATAATAATAATAATAATAATAATAATAATAATACTTCATTCCATTTAGAGGCGTCTTCCAAAGCACCCAAGGACACCTACATATTATTGTTATTATTATTTGATTTTGTTTTTCTAAAAGGCTTTCATGAGTTATTTATTTATGCATACAGTAATATGTCATGTCTTTATATGTGTAACTTTCTCTGACGTGACTTTGTCTGGCACTTCCATCTGACGTCCCAGCATTGATCGTCTCACCTGTGTGCGTCCTCTGGTGGATTTTGAGGAACAGATGGTTTTTGAACACCTTCCCACAGTCCTCACATCGAGCCTCGGTGTCGGGATACTTCCTCTTCCTGCCTCTCTTCCCCGGCTCTCTCCTTCCTGGTTCCTCTCCGCTCACTCGGTAGCTTTTGTACTTCACCGGAGGACGGATCTTACGTTTGCTCTGCCTCGACACCGGGTTGAAATCTGCATCGTCTTTAGACTCTGATTCTGCGTCTCCATGGAGAACATCTGTAACTTCATCCTCATGGAGAACATCTGTAACTTCATCCTCATGGAGAACATCTGTAACTTCATCCTCATGGAGAACATCTGTAACTTCATCCTCATGGAGAACAGTTTCTGAGTCTTCTTTCTGCAGATCTGTCTTACTCGGTCTTCCTCTCTTTCGTTTGGACACTTCCTGCACTTTGGGAACGCCCACCTGCAATCAAATGACCAAAAACAAATATATACATTTTTTTTTAATGTTGAGAAAAAAGTAGGAATTCTGAAAGTTAAACATTCCAAGAAAAAAGGTTTCTGAGAAAAAAGTTTCAATCAACAATCCGACGTTTGAAAAAGGGAAAATAATGGAACAAATTAATTGCATTTTAAACGATATTTCAAGTATTTGAGCTTCAAATTCAACCATCCATGTGCTTGTATACAGTATACACTCTTCTTGCACTGTTTCTATTTTATTTGTATTTATTTGCACATCTCAAGAGAATGTTTTGAGATGTGCTAATAAATAGAAATAAAATATAAATAGTGCAAGAAGAGTGTATATACAAGTAAATGGAATCTGATATATAGAGAAATAATTAGCAGGAAGCAAACAGATGGATGTTCTGGATGTTCTTCAGAGTTCAGGTGTTCAGCAGTCTGATGTCCTGAGGGAGTGTCTCTGCGTCTGGGGGTTCAGTCCTGATGCTGACTCAGGGACATTCATGTAATAATATGTAATCCTTTTAAACGTAGAACCTTTTTCTTATGCAGGAATATGTATTTACAGTTTGATGTGAGGCCATCTTTACCTCCTGCAGCTCTGATTGGTCGTCCTTCTCCTCGTCTGCAGAGCGTTCAGAAAGCGCCGTGATGAGTTCACTGACCTGCAGGAGTTTAGCGGCGGCGAGAAGCTGCTGCGTGACGTCGTCCTCCACACACACCTTGTCCTCCTCCACACACACCTGAGCGCTGTAGATGAATTGGAGCACGTTGCTGAGCGTCTCTGCAGAAACGTCCTGCAGCCGGTAGACGCTCTGAGGCTTCGAGGTGAACAGGAACAGGAAGTGGTCGCTGCTCGCGGCTAACACAGCTTTGTGGGCCCTGAACGCCTCATCATGCACCTGCAGAGTGACGTCACACAAGAGGTCCTGCTGCCTCAAGGTGTTCAGTTTACCCAGAATGCTTTGCTGGTGCGAGTGGGATTGCAGGGACCTGATGGAGGACCGGTTCGATGCCGGAGACATCTTCAGGTCCTGCAGGGGATAAAAATAACTCTATTAAACAGGGGATTTTAGTTACAGCATAATGTGACTTAAATATAAATACATGTTATACTAGACTATAACTTAAAAACTAAAACTAAGACTTAAAAAAAACTCTTTTAATACTTTTTAAAACATACCATCACTTTTTTGTTACTATTTTAAGATGAGATGTATTTTATTGGGATTTTTTGTTGCATTGCAGCAGCATAAAAAACAAGGCATTGCACATAAGTAGAAATTAAAGAGTAGAAATAAACAATTCTGGTGTAATAATAATACATGTTATTTATATAGCGCTTTTTTCTGGTTTAAATATGCAACAGCTTTCCACCAATAATGCACATACTTTATTTTATTACTACGAGTATTTAGTCATTCTATACTGCATATATATTTCATGTAAATATATCTCTATATTTCTAGTGTTATAGCCGTTTTTTAACCAACAGTTTGGTCCTTTTTCTTACTTGTTCTCTCCTTTCTCTGTGTTTATGTTATGCACCATGCAAACTCCTCTAGTGTAAACCTACCTGGTAATAAACCTGATTCTGTCTCTCTTTCTGTTCTGGAAATCTGTCCCCATTAGCACACATACATTAAATAGTTCCCCATTCATCTTTAGTGTCTCCTCTTGAGTTTGCATCCATAAAAACTATGTATTCCCTGATATGTTACCTCAGAAAGCACACAGCATTAGTTAGCATCATGCTAACAAACAATATATTCCGCGCTAGCTTTCACACACCCCAAAGCTAGCAGAAGAAGCTACGTGTGCTGCTGTAATAACGCGTTAAATAAACTCTATTTAACTCATGATTCTACTTATGTCTGCTTCAAAGCGGTGTCATTCACAAATAGTGATCTTTAAGGACCTTACCTTCTACTACAGCTGTGGACGGAGGGAGGGAATGTGAAGGAACTATCGCGAGAGTTGTGATTCTGACCAGTTTAGCGCACAGCTGATCTACAAACTCTGTGGATGGACACAGCTGATTGTGTGCGGGATGACGCGTGGTTTATAGATCAGCTGTTCCGACAGGAAGTGCGCTTTATGTGTTTATGATGTAACGATTAAAAAGGTCAGCAGCTAGTTAGAGAGAGGGTCAAAGTGTTTCTCACATTGAGCTTTTCTACATGTTCCTGGTTATGTGAGGATTCTCTCCAGGACGTGCTCCCTCTTTTACAGTCCGAAGAGAAACACTACCAGTCTGCAGAGAGCAGGTTGATCTTATTATAACTATAGGTGAGTGAAGCAATGCACAATAAACTGCCTTCTATTCACTATAGGACACTTTGTGAGACGTTTAAAAAATCGTGTTTGATTACAATAACATTAAGCAAAAATCAGCTTCAGTTAAACTCACAGCTGTCTGCACTTTAAAGGCAAAATATGGAGTTACAAACTACCTGCTGCAGGTAAACAGGGTGCAGAATATCACCTGTACAGCTGTCTCCATGCAACATGCTTCTTCAGTTTTAAAAACTACTTCAGTTAGACTGTGCATACTATAGTTATAGCAATTGTGTAGTTTTATATCTGTATTTGTTTTACTCCTGTATAATGTCAATTAGTCAGTGTTTCTTTTAGTTAATGCACAACAAATCTGTAGCAGAGCCGTTTTGATCTGAAGTGTAACATCAGGGCTGTGCAGAGGAGGCTCACATTTCACAAGGAGCTTTCTGTATAATAATGGGATAATGCATGTTTTTAAAGCAAATTCATGACATATAAAGTGTTTTTTGCACCAATATGAAACCCTAAAACTCCAGGCTGCAGCTGCCAATACAACATATAATGAACAGTGACAAACTATACTAATATTTAACTTTTTATGACATCTTATACTTTGACCTTCTTAAATCTTTTTTTTTGCAAAGAGATAATAAACTATGACTTTCTTATTTTAATAATTAACTTTTTGACGGCATGTTATACTTCGATATTCTTTAATACTAAACTTGTTTATGACTTTATAGCATGATTTATTTAATGTCTAACTTGTATGGCATCATATGAACGCTTATTTTACTTTTCATATTTAAGTTTTAATTATATACTATACTTTAAAAACACTTTTTTTCTCACATGTTTCTTCTACTATATTTTAATTTGTAACTTTTCATGACATTATTTTTGGATTTAATGCAAATATATACTTATATTTCTTTATATTATTATGGGATATTAAACTGACTTTTTATAAATCTTTTTTTGTGACATACTGATCCATGACTCTTTACATGTTTTAATTACTTTTCTGTGCAGTAACTGGAGGTTATCACCACACACTAACAACATGTTACCTGCAGTAACTGGAGGTTATCACCACACACTAACAACATGTTACCTGCAGTAACTGGAGGTTATCACCACACACTAACAACATGTTACCTGCAGTAACTGGAGGTTATCACCACACACTAACAACATGTTACCTGCAGTAACTGGAGGTTATCACCACACACTAACAACATGTTACCTGCAGTAACTGGAGGTTATACACACTAACAACATGTTACCTGCAGTAACTGGAGGTTATCACCACACACTAACAACATGTTACCTGCAGTAACTGGAGGTTATCACCACACACTAACAACATGTTACCTGCAGTCACTGGAGGTTATACACACTAACAACATGTTACCTGCAGTAACTGGAGGTTATCACCACACACTAACAACATGTTACCTGCAGTAACTGGAGGTTATCACCACACACTAACAACATGTTACCTGCAGTAACTGGAGGTTATCACCACACACTAACAACATGTTACCTGCAGTAACTGGAGGTTATACAAACTAACAACATGTTACCTGCAGTAACTGGAGGTTATACACACACTAACAACATGTTACCTGCAGTAACTGGAGGTTATCACCACACACTAACAACATGTTACCTGCAGTAACTGGAGGTTATACACACTAACAACATGTTACCTGCAGTAACTGGAGGTTATCACCACACACTAACAACATGTTACCTGCAGTAACTGGAGGTTATCACCACACACNGCGCTCGGCTACATCATGCAATCGAAAGAGAAACTTAAGCTCGCTCCATTAATAAATAAATAAATTTAAGTTTTCCGCACTCTCACGGGAATATCTCCGCAATGGAGCGAGCTTAAGTTTCTCTTTCGATTGCATGATGTAGCCGAGCGCAACACCTTCGTCCCACATGTTTCCACCTGTTTGTACCATTTTCAGCCGATTTGTAATCTGTTCTAGAAAAACGATGTGTTTTTGGATATTTGTGGAGTTAGGTGGTCTGTGAGTGTTTTTGTATTGGTTAAGTCCTTGGTATGAAAACGTTTGAGAAACAGTGCCCTAGACTGTTGCTTGGCGTGGCCAGAATATTGCTCCACTTTCTCCGGTCCCCGAGATTGGGCTTCCAGTAGCTCTGGAGAGAGCTTTCGCACCTGTGGCCACTAACGGTCATAATTTCTCTGCTTTGTTTCAAGACCCGCATCAGAAAGCTTTTGAATGGTGCTACTTTCCCAGTTGGTCTACCTGCTCTTCACGTAGCTCTGCATGTTGTAGTTTAGGTGCTCTCTGGAGATAGGCACTGCTCAATCCACTCCTCCATAGTGAGACCCCCCCCGAGGTCCAAGTTAATCTCAAATGTTTCCATCTTTGTTTGTTAGTTAGCTAGCTAGTTAGCTAGTTAGTTAGCTAGTTAGTTAGTTAGTTAGCTAGCTAGTTAGCTAGTTAGTTAGTTAGCTAGTTAGCTAGCTAGTCAGTTAGTTAGTTAGCTAGTTAGTTAGTTAGTTAGCTAGTTAGTTAGCTAGTTAGCTAGCTAGTCAGTTAGTTTGTTAGCTAGTTAGTTAGTTAGCTAGTTAGTTAGCTATTCAGTTAGTTAGTTAGTTAGTTAGCTAGTTAGTTAGTTTCCCAACGGCTGTAGCTTTTCTCAGATGCGAGAGAGATACTGACTTGTTGTGANTGAGGAAGTGTGAGTGTGTTTTCAGTTTGATTCATCAGAGCTGCTCAGGTTACACTGCACATGAGATCCACAACACAACAACGTGAACACAGAACCAACAGAACCAACAGAACCAACAGATACACATTTCTTAACAGAAAGCTCACTTCTTCTTTTCACTGTTATAGGTATATTCTCATATATTTAGGGTTTCAAATGTATTCTTTTTTTAGTTTTGTATAATTAGATGTTTTTAACAGGATGAGTGAGGGTAGAATGAAATGACATTCAAGATTTCATGACACCAAGAAATTAATTTGCAACAACATTTGACTTAAAAAGAATAGTACCAATTAATAAATAGATACTGCATCCCCACTCATTTGTTCAAAACAAACAAACACTGACTAGTTTTGTAATATCAGTTTCTTATAGATTAATGATGCATACATTCTTTGCCATCCAGTTGGGTATTTTATTTTCTGGGTATTTTGGAAAAGGCAGACTATTGGTGGAAAATGGATTTTATATTTGCATGTTTTTGACAGCCAATTTCGGATATCATCCCAAGTTGTTTTTATTTTATAACATTTCCAAAAGGCATGTACGAAGGAGTCGCTCTCAGTACAAGATTTTAGACATTAATCGGAGGAACTGCTATCAAATGTATCTATTTTCTCCCTACTCTAATACATTCTTGTCATTAGTTTATATTGAGTTAATTGTAGATCTTAGTTTGCAGTCATTTAATATGTAAGTTGTAAGCATTCCTTCCATTTTAGTTTTTCGTCTTCTACGTCCAGGTCTTTATTCCACTCAGGGTAAATGTGTGAAGTAATCCCCATTGTCTTCAGCACTGATACAGATATGATATACCGCTCAGATTAATGTTTGCTTTTAGAGTTCCCCTTCAGTTGAAACTCTGTTTTTAACGTCCACATTTCCTGTGAACCAATTTTTAAACTTCAAATATTTAAAAGTTTCTGTGTCTCTTAGTCCATATTAACTCTTTCATTTCTGAAATGAAAGTATTGAGCTTTCCAATATCTGATCATTGAACATTCCTCAACGTGTCCTCCTCAGCCAGTGTGACTGGGACTTCTGAAGAGTTATTGATGGGCTATTCCAAAGTTCTTTATGTTTAGGGAATTCTATTTCCTGACCTTCTATCTGTTTTATTTACTTTCCACGCAGAAGATGAACTATTAATTACAAAAAGTTTTATTTTGATCTCAGAAAAAAGAGTAACTGTAACTGATGGCTTTCAATCTCTATCCAAGGTTCTTCATTTGTGTTGTTTACTATTTAGTCAATATAAAACATACTCTCAAATGTATTCAGCTCCAGTTCCTAAAGACCAGTTTAGAAATGTTCTCAGTACGCTCCCCCCACAGGCTCTGGTTACTGCAGAGTGTGTAGCATGTCTAATGGCAGTCTTATGAAAATGGCAAACTAGTGAATATGTCAGATTTCTGTGTCTTACTTAGAGAACCGTGTGTCAGTAAAGTAGGTAAGAAATGAACAGATGATAACCTGCAGCTGTTCTCTCCATCAGACGCCTGTGAACTGGAGCTGGACATAAACACAGCTCACAGGAACCTCAAACTGTCTGAAGGCAACAGGACGGTGACACGTGTGGAGGAGGAGCAGCCATATCCTGATCATCCAGAGAGGTTTGACTATGGAGACAGCTGATGTGCAGAGAAGCTCTGACTGGTCGCTGTTACTGGGAGGTCGAGAGGAGAGGAAGGGTTCGTATATCAGTGACTTACAGAGGAATCATCAGGAGAGGAGACAGACAGGACAGTGTGTTTGGAAGGAATGATCAGTCCTGGAGTCTGGAGTGCTCTGATGATAGTCGTTACTATGTCTGGCACAATAACAGCGCAACAAGCATCACCTCCTCCCCCTCCCCCTCCTCCTCCTACTCCCCCTCCTCCTCCTCCTCTGGTAGAGTAGCAGTGTATCTGGATCATCCTGCTGGCTCTCTCTCCTTCTACAGAGTCTCCTCCTCTGACACACTGATCCACCTCCACACCTTCAGAACCACATTCACTGAACCTCTCTACGCTGGGTTTACAGTCTGGTCTGATTCCTCAGCATCTCTGCGTCCTCTGCCGGTCTGAGAGTCTCTCCTGTTCAGTTCAGTCATGGTTTAAATGTAGTTGAGTCGTTTCTATCAGGGTAACTGCTGCCATCAGGGCGTGCCTCAGCGCTGCCTGCCACAAGCTGCCATAAACACACCAACAGAAAGCCAAGATCCGTGTTGTGTCAAATGATCATATAATCATTTATATATAAATATATATTGTGTCTTGTTCTCTGATTGCCTTTTAGTCTGGGAAATTGTATTTGTATACTTATTCGTGTTTAACAGAGACATATGTTTAGGATTGAGGGTAAAGGGTAAAGGTGGATTTGTAAATGGATAAGGACTGGGGTTTATGGTTTATGGTGGGGATGTTTAGATGAGGTCTAAGAGGATTTCAGGGTAGGACCAGTAGTTCCCTTTCTTCCACATGGTGGGACGTTAGCTGTTCCTGGTCCTCCAAGCTATGATTTCTTTGGTATTATAAATGATATCTAATCAGAGTTATACTCTCCTATATTGTATATGTTTCTAAAAACTATAAAGAAAGAAATATTTTGTATCTTGAGGGGGATCTTTTGTTCATTTGGTCACAGTTTTTTCCTAAATGACGTACACCGGATTCAGGTGGTTTATTTGTGGACATGTGCACTCCGAGGCCACGCGGTCCGCGCTTTGATTTGACTTTTTTGCAATTACACTCGTATCCTGAAGGCTCAATGCGAACGTCTTGCCGGCGTACACTTTGACCTTTGTTGGGTGCCAACCAATTAAGGCCACTATATATTTTCCTCAAGAGATCGTTGTTCCAAAATGACAACACGTATCCTCTGAGACCTCGCAAACAGGTTGCAGTCGTTTCCGAGTTGCTACAATGCTGATGGAAGACGTTGGCTTCTGTATGTAATGTAGTTTTACATTGCATTTCACCATTTGTAATCATGGTGAGCTGGAGTTTGTGCAGGTTGCACAAACTCCAGTCAGGACATCGAGTCCACAGTTTCCCTCACGGGAAAAGGACCGGAGCTAGCGTTCGTTCCTGGGTGCGTTGTGCATCCACCTCTCTGCAGCACATACTCTCCACAGCTGAGGCCATGGGCTGGCATTTCCCACACAAGCACCTATCAAACAAAACGTTTATCAGGAAACCGTATTACATCTCTCTCCCCCCCTTCGCTCCTCTCTCTCTCCCCCTCCTCCTCTCTTCTGGTACACAGCACCGTAAGACGTAGTGTGGAGTTGCATTAGGTAACGCGAGATACGGCTGATACTTGCTCATTAGTTTCTATTATGGATCAGTATCAACAGTACTGCCAGTAACGTTACTATATTATCAATGCTACTTTAGTTATAGCCTGATATATGATAGCTAACTTTACAATGTTGTGATGTGACGTTAGCTAACATCCTGTAGCTAACGCCGGTCACTCACCAATATAGCTGCCCAGTTCTCCACTGGTTCTCCTCACACCACAGCTCAATTTCTCTCCGATGGCCGTTATTTCTTCTAATCCTTGGCTGCTCCTGGTCTCTTGGACGCCGAGCAGGCTCATAATTATAAGGTTGTGGTCCGTCATATGCATTCGAATATTCATGTTCAACTTCTTCTGTGTCTTCTGTGTCGAAACTAGCATTGGGATCCATGTTTATTAATTTAATACGTTAGATTACTTGGTCTTTTTTTATGCAGAAGTAAAAATGTCTTACAAAAACGACACGCCATATGTCACTGTAGTGTATATTTATGTTTTTTTTTTTTTTAAATCTAGTGTTTATCATTTTCCCACTCATTTATTCACTGGGGTCTCTAACCTGCAAGTTGCTCTTTAACAATGGGATTACCGTTCCTTTTCGCCACCATTGATTTGTAAGTTTTCAAGGCTTTTAATGGTCATACGTGCGTAGCTACAGGGTCGTTATGACGATGAAAATCTTAGGTCACAGCTCCTCCAACAGTGCAACACAATAAAACAGATACACACAAACAAATAGTGCAAGTAATAAAATACACTTTTATACTTATTACTTGGATAAGTAATAGTAAAAAAGTGAAAAAGTGAAATAGTGAAATAGTGAAATAGTGCAAGTGATGGAAGTAGCAGCCAGATAAATGTTATGATGTCGTTTCAAGTTCAGGTGTTGTAACTCCAAGTGTACGAGATACCGTAGACTTCCGGAGAACGCGGAGACCCGAAACCAGCGTCGGATCGCTCGGCATCGAGTGCTGACAAACATATTTAAGCTTCAGCACCGCAGGCCCTCCAGAATGTTTTTCTCCGAGATGCCCTAAACATCTCAGCATCCTCTCCGACTTGACGTCCACAAGAGGCTTCTGAAGTTGGATATTGAGCGAAAATGTTGCCTAGCGCGGCTGTTCAAACTGGACGTCGGGGGGAGTCTCTGCCCGGAGTCCCAGGGCCCTCACTGCTCTGGGGCCAAAACCGCGACTGAAAGATGCGCAATCCAAAATGTGTTCTGCTTCTATGGCCTCGAGAGCTTCCAAATTACAGGTGGTCTTTTCACACACCACGAGGAGTGGGTGTACCAACATGGAGGTCTCTGGGTGGTCAGGGAATAGAACCGCAGCAAAAAGAAGAAATGTGCTTTATTTTGAATGGTCGGTGAATTCAAAGTGTACAGATTGTCCATCTAGGGACACTTATGCATTGCTACATAAATCGAGGAGGTTAACATTCTTGCCCTCAAGCAATCTCTTTCATATTTACAACACTTATTCACGAGTGGGGTGGGGTGTCGGGCACAGAATTGCAGCCTCCTAGGCGAGAGGACGCAGGACTTGTGACCTTGTACATTTCAAAACCCTGTGTGTTTGAAATGTACAAGGTCATATCTCCACGATGCCTGGGCCGGTGCTACATGCATGTGACAATGGATTAGTCATAAAGCGTGCTCCATCTCTCGCTGCAGCGATTTTGAGGCCAATCCGAGCAAGACTTTAGCATTTATTTGAAACAAAGTGTTTTTAAAAAGGGCGGGAAAAATGTGACATTGCCCAAATGTCTCAATTTTCACACCACTGAATCCGTGAGTTGGATGCATGACAGAGTATCAGCTCTCAGTACCTTGGCATTTTGGAGATATGACCTTGTACACCTCAAATACCCAAGATCCTACAGTTAAGTATTTTAATTGGACATAAAATAAACACAATGCAAAATCAGCTGTTTGTCCGTCTGTCTCTAAACGGCACAAACTACAACTCCCATGATGCAACGCTGTGTCGTCTTTTCTTATAGTTTGGTTTAAAAAATGACAGATTGTATATTTAATGTTATTCAACGGCTGGAGGTCAGCAGAGTCACAGAGGGGGGTTCGTCATGTTTCCTGTCTCCTCCGACACTAACGAGCCCCGGTGGACCCCCTGGGTCTGTGTGGACACTCGGACACTAACGAGCTTCTCTAATGAGCTAATTAGCACAAACTGTATCTTGGGAGGACAACTTGTCACCATGGTTACTGCTGTAAACAGCTGTGTGTGAACTCCTGTAGGCCAGTTGAATTTCAGCCAAATGACCAAGGACCTGATGGGGGGGCTAATTAGGTCTCAGTAATGAGCAGCAGGTAAACAACTCTATTCTAATATTAAATAATAATTTAACTTTTTTAGTCATATGTTAGTATACTGGTTGCATGTAAGAGTTTTAAACAGAAAAAACAATACAAATTAACAATAATAAGGATTTGATGTGACAGTTGTAAGATACAATGACATTGATAATGTATTTTATTGTTTGCATATGAAATTATTATTGTGGGTAAAAGTAATACATACTATATGTGAAGTGAAATCAGTCGGATGTTGCAACGGCGCAATTTGAGATAATCGTGGATTATTAGAAAAACTTGTGTTTTGGTCATTTTGGGATTGTAGAATATCACACTTTTATCGCAATATTCAGACAATAAACACATTTTTGAAGCTTGTAAAGACAGGGTGACAACTCCCTCCCTACGTCTCCCCGAATGAACCAATGCCAGGCTGACCAAAACAAGGTGAGGTCAGAGATTGGGGGTTACGTCTGATCTCAAATAAAAAAATGTCTTGGCTTTAAGAACATTGACAAATTCAGATGAATAATACGGTGTAAGCTTGTAAAGTTACGGTGCAAAGTTACGGTGTAAAGTTACGGTGCAAAGTGGCGAACGGAGCCACTGAACGACAGAGGCACTGCAACAGGCGGTGTGTTTCCTTGAAAAAGAGGTACTATGCCCCCAGAATATGATCCGATCCACACCTACTGGAAAAAGAAGCTGACTGCACTCCATGGATGCCTGGCAGCACGACTGATCCAGCTGCTGACAGATGGGACCCACCCAGAGTGGTTAACCAAAGGCTGGACAGTTCTGATCATGAAGACCACCAGAAGAAGAACCAACGGACAGAAACCTGCCTCTGCACAACATGGAAGCTCCTGCCAGACATCTTTTCAGATAAGATGAGTAGCCGAACACCAGCAGGTTGACAGAGCAGTCACTGGAGGCAGTTAGACCAGACACACTAACTATGGATACTGGAATGCTAGGAGCTGTATAAGGTCAACAGGACACCAAGAGCCTTCATCCAGAACTCAATGGGACTGAGGAAGACGACCCTAGAGGCCAACTCAAAGTCAACTGCACTAGTCACCACAAAGTGTGACATGTACCAAGGAGATCAATAAGAGAGGCTACATATACCGGTTCCAAAGAGGATCGACCATCAGACACCTCCTCTTCGTGATGACATCAAGCTGTACGACAGGAATGAACCAGACATCGACTCACTGATCCACATCACTAGGCTCTACAGCAACGTCATCTGACTGTCATTGGGACTCGATAAGTGTGGTCAGATGGTAGCTAATAGAAGATGTACAAAATAAAAACTGCAATATGGCATATGTATTTTGTCTTCTATCTTATAGTGTGACATATTAAATTGAATCCTATTGAATTTGTTATGCTGATGAAGGTATAACCTTGTATGATAAAGTGTAAATAACTTTTATATTTGTGATCAATAAGTAGATTTTCAAAATATTTATTGTCATATCACATTAGCTACAGAGTATAAATGGCAATGCAATTCTTATGACATGAACTCCAACAATGCAACGTGATATTATCAAAAGGGTGGAATGTAATGGG